GGACCAAATTAGAAGAGACACACAAACTCATAAACAACACCCTCACTGGAATAAAATTCACCAGAGAGCAGGAGAAGAACAAACAACTCCCATTCCTGGACGTCATGGTAGAGCGCAAGACAAATGGGGAACTGCAAAAGAAAGTACACCGAAAAGCCACACACACAGACCAGGTATTGAACTTCAATAGTAACCATCCCAGCACACACAAACGAAGCTGTGCACGAACACTATTTAAAAGGGCAACAACACACTGCAGCAACATGGAACTACACCAAGAGGAGGAGGAATACCTCTTCCAAGTGTTCAAGGATAATGGATATCCAAAGAACTGGGTCAGGAGATGCCTACAAGAACAGCATCAGAAAGATTCTACACGCCCCAAAACACTCATCACACTACCCTACATCAGGAACACGTCAGAACTCACCAGAAGACTTCTACAACCGCTGGGCATCAGAGTGGCACACAAACCCACATCAACCCTACGACAAGTGCTCACCCGAACTAAAGACCCACTTCCCGCCATGGACAGGACCAATGTCATCTACAAGATCCCCTGCAGAGACTGCGAGAAACACTACATTGGACAAACAGGAAGGAAACTAACAACAAGAGTACATGAACTCCAACTGGCTACAAAAAGACACGACCAATACTCACTCATCTCAATCCACATGGACAAGGAGAACCATACTTCGAAAGGGACAACACCAAGATCCTGGGACAGGCTAGGCAGAGACAAGCATGAGAATTCCTGGAAGCATGGCACTCCACGAAGCATGCTATTAATAAACACATTGAACTCGACCCCATATACATTCCACTACGGAGGAAACCCGGAAGTGAGGCAATCCATCGCAACGGACCCCGGAGTTTAAAAACCAGGCGGGAAAACACACTGACGCTTCATCAGAGGCTGCACTGAGGATATTACCAAGCACGGTAACGAAACGTCTGCGGAACAACAAACCAGCTCGGCGAGGCAACCAACCTCAAATTATGCTAAATTTGAGGCAATGAGTTGTATGGCAAGAGCAGGAATTTTCATGGAGACACAAGCAGACAATATTAACAGACTAAACTGTAGCAGGTGGAATTCAATATGAAGTTACCCACTTTTGATCTAAGAAAAACAAATCAGAACATTTTCTTAGCAGCGAGAAACTAGGAATAGTGAGGCACAAAAAGAATTGTTAGCTACACACCAAGGCTGGCAAAGATGAAAAGAGTAATCAAATGTGCAGTTATCTCTGATGTTGGCTATTTTACTGACGAAATAGTGATTAGGTTTGACTTTCATCAGAGCCCAATTGGAGTACTGTAATTAGTTCTGCACATCTTATCAAGCATTCATCTGCAATGGTTGGGGTGATTAGTGCTTATTTATCATAATCAAGAAATTATGAAGATGTTACATGAATTAATGCTTGGAGTTTGGAAAATTGAGGGTCGAAACAACTGAGGAGTTTGCATTAAGAGATTTACAGAAAATCAATTTCCTCTGCGGAGAATCCAGAACATGGGTATAATCTTAAAATAAGAGCTAGGCCATTTAGAAGTGAAATCACAGAGGTTTTGTTTTCACACAAAGGGAAATAGAAATCAGAATTCACTCTAGGAGTGGCAGCTGGAGGTCAAATGGAGTTTTCAAGACAGGTTAATAGCTTTTTGTTGTAAGAGCTATCAAGGAAATGGATCAAAATTTAAGCCATTCAGATCATTGGATCTGTTCAGCCATTCCATTTCGTCAGTCAACCTGCATCTCAATTGCAATTACCCTCAAATCTCTGGGCTAGAACTCCAAACCATTCTTTCTGGTTCAAAGGGGATAGTTCAGCCAGCGATCCATGGTTGCTACTTGTGCTTTTTTTTTTTATGTATAGAAACACTGGCAGGGAGAAATGTTGTTGACAACGTTCTGGGAACCTGGGTTCAATCTCGCCATGGCAGATGGCGGAATTTGAATTCAATAAAAAACTGGGATTAAGAGTCTGACTATTAAGAATCCATTGTTGATTACTGTAAAAACCCATCTGGCTCACTAATGTCTTTTAGGGAAGGAAACTGTCATCCTTACCTAGTCTGGTCTACATGCGAGTCCAGACCCACAGCAATGTGGTTGACTCTTAATTGGCTTCTGCGGTGGGCAATAAATGCTGGCCTAGCCTGCAACGCCCTCATCTCGTGAATGAATTTAAAAAAAAAAAAAAAAAAAAAAATCACCCAAGCTCCACTCCTTCAGACAGCAGTTCCGAAGCCAATTAAGCACTTCCCACCGAGCCCACAAAACCACATGGAAACATCACTGATTACATCATTACAAAGAATCAATTTTGTTTGGAAAAATTCTTGCAGCATACACTCACCAAGTGTTGTCCAACTGATGATCTGACTGGCTAAAGGGAGCCCATGTTTATCTGCCAAACTGGAGTGTGTCATGTTCACAACATAGATTGATAGAACAAGACCTGCGATCTGCAAATGAACAGCACTTCTGTATTAGATCACTTTCATACAGTTAAATGCTGTAGTCCCAAAACATCCTTATGATTTAAGCAACATGATGATAAGATATTCTCACAACATAATTCATCTGTGATTTTAGTTCTGCTGTAAAATGAGGAGAGATGAAACTGCTCACCCATATATCTACATGTTGAACAGCTGCAAGGTTTGAGAGAAGGATACTCAAAAATGCTGCAGAGGTATATTTAATGCATCACCACCAACTATTTCAAGAAAATCCTGGCAGAAAATTACTTGCTGTCCAGGCTTGATACATAAACTACTGTACCAAAATAAATTGAAATGGATTTCATGTGCATGCTATTATAAATAATTAAAGATTAGCACATATGTAAATGTGACCTTAAATATTTTGAAAAAGAAGTGTCCAAATGTTGTTGCCCAAACCATGAACTAAAAATCTTGCCTTCTTCCTGATCAGGGAAACTTTGCCTTTACCTCCCACCCAACACTAATTCATTCTCCCAGTGTACCCATATAATGTTCCAACTGGTGCCAGGGTTTCACACTGTTCTACAAGATTCTCAGGTTAAGGGTCTGTGACACTTAAACTGTAATAGCTTTTGTTTTTAAAAAAATAATTTGAAGTATGAAAACAGTCTTGAAAGAAGTGGCCAAAAAAAAAAAAAATAGCCAGGGTTACTGTTCCCAATCAGAGTGGAGTGGCCTCCATGAGGATGGATGCTATGTGAGTTCAGGACGTCAGATTCATTGTTAAAGGGTCACTTATGAATATTGGCAACTTAAAGGAGTCACCCCAAGGAATCTAATAGCACTTGGACAGCAAAAATGGGAGAAGAATTCATAGTCTGTATACATAACAGCACTTCTGAGAACAAGAAAACAAATAGAAACTGAAGTGGTTTCTTTTTAGGTTCTGCAGTTTCTTTCCTTTTCTTTTCCACTGATAATGAGCATCACTAAGTTGAATTAAAATTATTTGTGCAGATTTAATGTGTTACATGTACATTTGACAAACTTGATGAAAATCATTACTCAAAGCATTAACAGAATATGAGACTTGAGAATATTAGTCAATTACCATCCACAAAGCAGTAAGAAAAAAAGAATTTTTTTCAAATGCCTCAAGGTAAATAAAGGTGCTAAAATTAAAAGTTCAGGATGAAATAAAATATGCAGACCTGTGTAGTGTATACGCTTCTGTTCACTATTGTTGTAGTTTCAATTGATTTTGCCTTTGCCATCTTGAAAGAATTGAGGAAGATGAAGCTGCAGATGACAGCCAGTATTCCAGCTCCAGTTCTGTTTCCAATAAAAGACAACAAATTAAAACATATGGCCTACTCAGGGCCATAGGACAACCAGCCCCACGTGTTTGTTAAAAATCACAGAAGGATGCAGCATTGCAGGCGGTCAATTAGTCACTTGTGTCCTATGTTGATTCTTTGGTAGAACAATCCTATCAGTCACACTCCTCACTTCTTTCCCAAAGCTCTCCAAGGTTTACCTTTTCAAGCATATTTCCAAATTCCAGTGTATAATGTCATCATTTTTCTAATTTATAATTTACAAAATATTTCAACATTAAATCTTTCAGTTTAGCCTTAAACATATTGCAGTTTGTTTTCCTGAAGCCTCACTTGCTACATAATGATATCATGGTAATTTTATGCCAGATGATATTAGGGAACTCCTCTTCACACAGAAAGGATATGATTCCAGCAGAAACTATGTAACATGGAGAAGTGGAGATAAAAATTGCCAGATGCATTTAAGGTAGGCTTGATTGTTCCACCGTTTCAATTCTCAACTTTCTTTACCTTCTTCATTCTATATTCCTCAATACCTTTGTCTCATGAAAATCTATAAGCCTTAATCCTGAGAATTTCAATTGATACCAAGTGGGGAGGCAATGGACTAGTGGTATTATCGCTGGACTATTAATCCAGAGACTCAGATAGTGTTCTGGAGACCTGGGTTTGATTCCTGCCATGGCAGACAGTGGAATCTGAATTCAATAAAATATCTGCAATTAAGAATCTAATGATGACCGTGAATCCATTGTCGATTGTCGGAAAAACCCATCTGGTTCACTAATATCCTTTATGGAAGGAAACTGCCATCATTACCTGGTCTGGCCTACATCTGACTCCAGACCCACAGTTTTGTGGTTGAGTCTCAACTGCCCTCTGGGCAATTAGGGATGGGCAATAAATGCTGCCTGGCAAGTGATGCTTTCATCCCATGAATGAATAAAGAAAGTATCCAAAGACTCGTAGGAGATCAATTTCCAAATTTTCATGACATTTGCGTAAAATGTGCGACCTGATTTCACACCCAAATGGTCGAAGCTCTAATCTTTTGAGTTTCAACTCTAATTTTGGATTCGCCCATGAGAGTTAGTAGTTTTTTCTTTACTTATCTTAAATCACTTTTCATTTTGAACACTTTGATTAGATCACCCCTCAGTGTTAAATGCAATCCAATTTTATGCAATCTGTCCTCTTGATAAGCTCTTCAAACTTTATATGGGTGAATCAGTAATAAGCCTCCTCTCTGAGGCTTCCTGGAGGTCCAGTGCCCAAAATGAAATATAACGCTCCACATGTGATCTGACTAAGAGTCTGAACAACTGAGATGCAACTTCTTCCCCTTTGAAATCCAACCCACTTGTGATATAAATCATCCTTCCTTTGGTCTCTTCTGGTTAAATTTTGTGCCTGTGCACCAGCTTTTAATGGTTTGTGCACATAGATCATTTCTATACAGATCCTTTCACTTGTTCACAGTTCTTTGTGTCTCACCATAAAATAAAATTCCAATTCACCTGTTCTGAACTAAACTGATGAACCTCATACATCAAACTCCATTTCCAAGTGGCTGGGGCAGTAGATAGAACCAATAATTTCTTAAACATGCCTCTCTCTTTCAATCTTTCTTGTTTCAAAACCCTTTTTCCTTTCTCTCTCACTGTGCACTCTTTCCTTCTCAGTTCATTCACAATCTATCAATCAACTCTTGTTCCAATTCTCTCAAATTTACTCTGAAGCTTTCAAAATTTTATTAAAGTAATATCAAATTGGAATGAAGAAAGAAGCTATCTTTTTCTGTTTCTCTGCTGAACCAGAAATCCTTGTCAATTTGCCCCCTGCCTAACCAGGCCCAGGAACACAGAGGTTAATTGCAAGGACCCTCACAGTATTGCCCAGTGTGGATTGTTCAGCTGAGTTTGCACTCAAGGCTTAATCTTCCTGGTCTATGCAGGACACTAAACATATACCCAAACAGCTATACGGTTTCAAGCTGAGCAAAAATTAATATTTTAAAATCACTGAAAAAGTTACACACAGATTCAATCATTTTGCATCATTAAAACAGAAAAACAATTATGTCTGAAATCTTGCAATGTTGTTTCGAAAATGATTTCTTCATCAATTATTGTTTAAAAACATAAAAGCTCATATTCTATTTTTCTTTACACCTACCTCAGGATACCACTCTTCTGAATTATGCCACCAATCTCCAAGTGATATATAAAACTAAGTTTTGTTTAAAAAAATAGCTCGTGCAAACTTACACAAGACTAATATTGTGACTTCTGCCTACAACTGGCATCAGTGGAAATACAGCCAGGATGAAGCTGAAAAAGATCCAGCTTAAAGACATGGCCTAAGGAGAATAGAATACAACAAATAAAAAACAAAATTAACATAAACTGTATTGAGACACCAAATAAATTTTACATATTTTCAAACTAATGCAATGATACGAGTCAAAGGACTATAATATTCTTTCACACCTCCAAATTTAAGTTAAAATGAGATTGACCAATGTACAAAAAAAAGTTACATATCATTTGTTTCATGCTCATATGTGTGCATAATAAGTGTTATAATTACTGAAAAGGTACAAGTGCCATCTCTGGATATATTGAATACTTTATGTATAAAGCAAACAGACTTCTTCTCCATTTTCACTCAGTCAGGACTATTATGACAATAATAAAATACTAGGATTCCAATGGATAATTTTTTTTTAAAAACAGGAATTTTATTATTTTTTGATGCCATCAGAAAGTCTGGCTATTGCCTACATAAATTGAAAGTTCAGAGGCAGTGTGCATGACCTTGTTCCTGCCATCTTGCCTGCTTGACCAGACTCCAAATAAATCCAGTCCAAAATGTTAAGGTTTGTAATGATGTTTGCTATGCAGGAATTCCCAGTGGAAGAGTGAGAAAGGGAGGGAGAGAGAGCGAGTGTGCACGCACGTGTGTAAAAAGATCAGGACATATTACAATTTTGTTTCTGATGCTATTCATCCTCAAATAGTTTGCCAATACTACAATATTCATCTATCAAAATACTTAATCTGCAAAATACCACAAGGCTAATGACACTCGGAGATTTATAACAGATGTCTGCATCAATGCAAGGAAACAAGAACAGAAAGGAAAAGATCCCTCTCATATGAAATTAAGGTCTACCCATAAATGGATGATCAGAAAAATCAACAATTTTATTACTGGGATAAAACAGGATGATGCATGGTTGAGAATTTCAATAGTGACTTCTACTGAATAGCACTGATCTACTGCAGCAAAGAACTTTTCTGACATTAGATTCAAGATACACAGAGCACAATAATTGGCATATATCTTGCTGTTTACCTGACTTCAGAATGCTCATTGCTGAAATAATATTCCATTCATCCAATACTGACTAAGAAATCAGCTATAAAAGACTTTAAAGGCAAACATTATAAATTACCAAGAACTTTACTTTCCAAAAACAGTTACAAGGAGCAGCCAGCCTATTGCCCAAATACAAAGTTCATGTGTGGTGCACGATGTTTAAGTGGATATAAAAGAAACAAACTGCAAGTTGTGGAGATCTGAAATATAAACAGAAACTGTTGGAAATACCAAATACAGCTTTCACGGTCTGATCTTCTCTAGATAACAAAAATATAGAAAACATCCCACATTTAGAGCTGCATTAGATGACATAGCATACGCTTAATTATTTTTCTCTGTAGCTTGTTATTCCTGGAGCAGATAGGTAGCCTGAATTCAGGGGCTTGAGGGAGACCATTTCACATCAAGCATGGTCAACCAGGAGACTCTTCTTACCACCCCCACCACAGGCATATTGGAAGGATGTGTAGGTTGATAAATCAACTTGGTCTGACGTGTTACAAATGCACTTTCCGTGGCCATCATGTCCTGGGTTGGGACTTGAACCTGGAGGCCCTGGCTCAGAGGCAAGGACGGTAACCATTACATCACAAGATCTCCTATGGTGAACATATGAAACTTTGAACTCAAAATTTCAAACACAAAGAGGCATCCATATTTCATCAGTTTGTATATTTATGATTCTTATTTATAAAGCCATTAGTATTCAGTTCATTCCATAGGGAAAAAAAATTAAAATAGAAACAGGAAATATTTGAAACTCTCAACCGGCTTGCAAAAATTTCTAAAGAAATAACAAAGTTAATTCAGTGAGTTAAACATGAAACATTAATCTATCATTCTGGGATGCTAACTGTCCTGCTACACTTTTCCAGCACTTATGTTTGCAATTCAGATTTTCAGCATCTCCATTTTCTTTTAATTCTTGGTAAAATGTGAGCAAACATTTGTAAGTTTACCTATGAATATCTTGATATAGTTTTTAGTGTAATCAGCATTGCAATACAAGTTCTCATGGCTAGTCACTGGACCAGGAATGCTAACTCTGCTTTCTCTCCACAGATGTTGCCAGATCTGCTGAGTTTCTCCAGCAATCACTGTTTTTGTTAAGATTTCCAGCATCTGCAGTATTTGGGTTTCTTTTTATTCATTAATGGGATGAGGGTGTCGCTGGCTAGACTAGTATTTTTGGCCATCCCTAATTGCCCAGAAGGCAGTTAAGGTCAACCACATTGCTGTTGGTCTGGAGTCACATGTAGACCAGACCAGGTAAGGATGGTAGTTTCTTTCCCAAATGGACATTAGTGATCCAGATGGGTTTTTCCAACAATCACCAATGGATTTGTGGTCATCATTAGACAGATTTTTATTGAATTCAAATTCTACAATGGTGGGATTCAAACCTGGGTCCCCAACACATTAGCTGGGTCTTTGGATTAACAGTCCAGTGATAATACCAATAGGCCATCGCCTCCCCCTTTATTATAGTACAAATTGTTGTGATCGTGTGAAGTTTCGCATTCTTGCACTTGCCCTGATGATTGCAAAATGAAAAGCTTCGACAACATCTCTCTCTTTTCAAAAATAGTCAAGCTCTGTACTACTAAGCGAAAGTGTGATTTAGGCTTACATAAATATGCAGATAGATAAATAGTGTAACCAATATACCTTTCAAAAAGAAGCACTTTTGTCTCAGGATATATATATATAGCATATTAGATATATGAAATAAGAGATGGGCACCTTGTTCTGATGCAACAGCTTTGAATGCACTGGCCAAATGGCAATAGATACCAGCCCAAAGATGAGGACTTGCCGGTAGAAAAAGCTCGCAATCTAAAACAATGAACATCCTGCCATCAGATATGAATGCAAAGAGATATAAAGTCAGAAAAACTATTAAGCAAAGCAGAGGAGGGAATGAAAACATATTGCAGCAGTACAATGCAATGATTTGCCAATACTCAGTATTTAATACTACAAGCTGCATGTCTGTTTCTTGCAATGGAACATAAATGGTTAAGAAATACTAGCATGGTTAAATGCCAATAGGTTACCTCTACAGAAGCACACCAGGATAGGCTTTAATTATTTTTAATTAAATGTTCTAAAGCTGCAGCAATATTCAAGATGGACTTGCACAATTATGAGTAATTTTACTCAAAGATAATACATGAAATTCATTAGAAGGGTACTTTATAGCTTAAGTGATGTACTACACACAGCATTTCAACTGTAGCTCAGACATAACATAATTTACAAAAAGTACCTTAGTTCGATTGGGAAAGATTACGAAAGATAATGAAGGTTTGTCTTTTATTCATTCATGGGATGTGGGCATACCTACAAGGCCAGCACTTATTGCCTTTCCCTATTGCCCTTGAGTTGATGGTGGTGAGCAGCGCACCATCCCTGCAGTCCATGTGACAAAGTTAATCCCACAGGTCTAACTCTATCAATATAACCTTCAAATTTTTTGTACCTCACATATTTATCTGGTTTCCTTTTAAATACTTCCAATTACCTCGCTTTGGTAGTTTTAAAAGTAAATTGACTTATTCTCATATATCCGCCTCAAGTGAAAGTCCATCACAAATTGTTTCTGACATTGTGGTCAGAACTCATATCTATCAATGTTGAGTGCCAAAGAGTAAGGACACTTCCATTAGTTACAGAAAAGAGTTTCACCTATAATTTAGATAGGAAGACAATGTTAGCAAAGTGGTTTACACTACTTACCATTGTTTCAATGCCCAAAATAAAAAGTATTAAAGAGCCCATGGATTTCGCAGGATGAGTTAAAATTAAATTCATTACGTCTTGAATAATTCTAAACCTGTTAAAATAAGCAATGGGATAAATTATTATTTGGGATCAGTTCACCTAGAAGTTGAAGTTGAATTTAATTTCCAATTCATAAATAACATGCAGGGAAAAAATAATCAGAAATCAACATTCTTAAGATGAAAGTCGTAACATAGGATACATACTTCCATGAAGACCATTTGCTAGAAACACATAACTCAGAAGTCGCACGAAGTAGCAATAATAGTTTGAATTTCGATTCTCCATGCAACAGGATTTAGTTAGGAGACTGGCACAGACCACAAAGGGAATGGTTAGAGCCACTGCCTGCGCCTGGCCACTGGATGTAGTCTACACAGCACCATTCTGAAGCAGTGCTGTGAAAATTTATTGCCCTCACCTGCTGTTGGCCAGGTAAGGTAAATCTATTCCAACTATCACTATAATCAATTTTTTAATCAATGCTATTTTTAAACAATCAATCAGTTATTGCTTCATAACTTCAAGGTTCTTAGAAGTTAGAAGTCTACGCGGAAAGTAATTCAACCAGACTGCAGCAGCATTTTACACATTCACAGGTTGAATATTATTATTTTATGTACTTTTTTGCCTTAATGCTTGGACATTATAATGAATGGTCTGGTAGTCTTTAAATTGGAATAAAGAATCATGAGCTAATTAAAGCATTTTGGCCAATTCTAGAATTGGTAAAATGCTGAAATTCTCTTTTACAAACATAAGATTGTAATAATTTCAGCTTTTTAAACAAGATACAATACTGAAAGGTACCAATTATAACTGCACATTGCAAAACTATTGCTCCATATAACATGCACCTCAGTTTATCTTGTTTCCATAAAGAAACTTTATATTCAGGAATCTTTTAACATTTAGTCCTGCCTTTCTTTGACCGTGTCTCTGAATTACCAAATTACATAATTTCCACCTGGCAATGTGTGTTTATAACTCACCAACTTTACTCACTGTACTCTGTGCATTCACATTGGCACAAAGTAACCCTGACTTAGACTCTATCACTTTCTCTCTTATTCTGATCTTATCTATTAACTTGCAATTGAATTTTGAGTAAAAAAGACTTCTGTTAAAACAGCCACAGTGAATTGTGTTGTCAGCACAGCAGCAGCAGTGGTATGCTAGCAGCATGCAAGATGGCCAACTAGCAAATAAACAAAAAGAAAAATAAAGGTGAAAAATAAAAGGTGAAAAAAAAGGTACGTTCACATTCTTCATCTCAATTTTTTTGGCATCTGTTCACTGCTACGACGCCCAGGAAACCTAACAATCAGATTGAAATTATTTTCCACTTACTCCTTTATTACTGCGTACCACACTGGGACTGGCAGTAGACAATAAATGTAATATGTCCATGGACAGCTCTGAATCCGCAGAAACAGTGTTATCACCACACCAGCCCCAATGAATATTGTAGGAAGGTGATCGCTGGAGGACAGCTGTGAAGCACATGAAATACAACATAGATTTGCAGTGAGGTAGAGTAACTGCCTCAAATTACACAAATAATTCACAAATAAAAAATGTCAGGGAAGCATTGGCATGACCACTTTTAGTGATTTCAAACCGGCCCTTCTTTTAAATGTTATGAAACAATTTTGATAGGCTCCAAATTATAAAAACAATTTTACAAGATCCAACTAGATGTTTGTTTCTTTGTTAAAGCTTTCACAAGTTACTGCAAAGGATAGGTATTTTTGATATTTTATTGGGTCCTTTTCACCTACCTTGCCCAGCTGGCAAACTGGCTTGTTTAGTCTTGTATGGAGTTTGACAATCAACACAAAAGCGTAAGTTGTCCACCCCACAAATCCCAGCACTACACTGATTCCCAAGAAGACTCGGTCATAGGTATGATAGTAAGAGAGTCCTTCCAGGGCAAGGTTTATTAATGACTTGCAAAGATTAATCTGCAAGATAAAATGTGATCATTGAAAATTATTTCATGCATGAAAGATATTGCTCAATGACTGGATTATCATGATCTTGTAGAATTTTTGTGTCAATTATTGCCTATTGCCAGTTCCAGTGTGGTGCACACTAATAAAAGGTGCGGGTGGGAAATAACTTAGACCTGATGCCAAAATTGTCTTGCTTCAACACAATCAACATATGCAACAAAACTATGCAAAAGCAAACTATATTTCCAATGTAGTGTCACTTTTTTTTCCCCCCCCAAATTTTTGGCTGCCAGTTTTGGCAAAATGATGCTATGCAGATTGATATTGAGCATATTTTGTTGTGGCCATTCTTAACAGGACTTTACTTTACACAATTAATTATGACAAGGAAATGCTTTTTAAAAAATAATAAAGTGATTATAATCCCACATTTGCATGGCACTGAAGTCAGGTAAAAGCCCAGACGGAGTAAAGACAGGGAACTCTCCACAAACTAATCTGTAAACCGGTCAGGAATTTAGGACAACTTTATGGTTAGATGGTCACTTTTACTGATACTTTATATCAGCAGTTCCAAAGAACTCTAATGAGGTCAGTGTTTTCCTCTGGGGAAGGCATAACCTTGAAATTAGAGTTGGGCCATTTAGGGGTGATGTTAGCAAGCACATCTTCACACAAATACGATCTGGAACTCTCTCCCAAAAGAAGCTGCTGAGGGTCATTGATTTGAAACAAAATTGAATAAATTTGAAATTCTTCTTTTATAAAAAGGTAGTAATTAAGGTAAATAAGTTAAGATATAATAGGGTAGCGGAACAGGCTTTGTAGGAAGCTGACTGACCTCCTATCTCCAGGTCCCTGTGATGGAGTTTTATCTCCATGACCAGCCTGGGATCTATATGTCCATGTTTACTTGAAAGTGAGGCAATGGCCTAGTGGTTTTATCATGAGACTACTCTAGAGACCCAGTTAATGTTCTAGGGACTCAGCTTCGAATTTCACCATGGCAGATAGTGGAACTTGAATTCAATAAAAATCTGGAATTAGGAGTCTCATGATGACCATGAAACCACTGGTGGTTGCTAACCTTCACTAATATCCTCGCCCGACCTGGTCTACATGTGACACCAGACCTATAGCAATGTGGTTTACATTTAGCACCTTTCTGGGCAATTATGGACACCCTAAGCCCATGAATGAATAAAAGGAAAAATTGTTGAAACTACTGTGCCTTCACTTATTCTGGTGCTCTTCAGGCAGTAACTGGGGAGGCTAGATAATGAGAGACTAGCTTCTCCAATGGGAATTGTAAACCATGTACTAGACTTTTTGGGACGCTATGCTCCCTGTTCCTCCAGCTAGAATGTTAATTGGAAGACTTCTCTCGAGAAGGGTTATTGACTGGCTCAGTTTAGGGCCTCTGATCCTCTCCTACTCACCAAAACTGGGCAGTAAATCCCACTTTAGAGAGCTACTGGCTCATCAGGCTGGCTGTCAACTCTACATTCTGTAGTAGTGCCAGGTTCAAGTGAAGCACTTCCAGGATTATAGCCAGGTCCTAAGGATAAAGAGCTAATCGATGCTGGGCTGAAAAAAAAATCCAGGGCTGAAGGAGATAAAAAGGATCAGTTGTGAGAGGCTGCTCCTTTACTAGGAAGGTTTACTAAACAAATTCATGGAATGGGCATGTTATCAGAGGAGGAAAGGTTGGAAAGACTAGGCTTGTGTCCACTGGAGTTTAGAAGATTAAGAGGGGAATTCATTGAAGCATATCAGGTCTCAAAGGAGTCTTGACAGGGTAAATGTGAAAAGGATGCTTGCTCATCTGGCAGAATCTAAAACAAGGGGTCACTGTTTAAAAATTAGGGGTCATCCATTTGAAATGGGGATGAGGATCGAACTCTGTTCCTCAAAAGGTATCGGAAGCAGAGCCTCCGAATATTTTTAAGGCAGAGGTACACAGATTCTTGATTAGCAAGAGGGTGAAACGTCAAAGGGATAAGTGGAAATATGGAGTAATCAGATGAGCCATAATCTTACTAAATAGCAGAGAGGGCTCAAGGATGAGTGGCATTCTCCTGCTCCCAAATTTATATGTTTGTATGATACAGGGGATAACCAAAAGAGACTTCTCCCCTCTGCTCCAGCAATCCTACCTTCCCCAATACCAATTTACACAATAAAAACTGTCATGCTACCTGTCAAGCCTGGACCTCCCTCCGCTGTGGATAAAGTTGCAATGGAAGTGGGATAAGGCACTTGTGTGGCTGTTAAATTAGCAACTAAGGGTCTCAACAGAGGCAAGGGTTGACAGGCTGCCCAAATCCTCCACTCCCCATAACATGAACGATAGGCTACGGGTGGGCAGGTAAACAATGGGCAGGACAAACACTGCCCAAGCATCCCACCTTCTATTGCATGGTGGAGCACTGTAAAATCAAGGTCCATGGTTTAAAGCATGCACAATAGAATGGGGGATGCTTGCAAAATCAATACGAAAAATGAAATTTTCCATTATTAAACTTTTCACAACACTGTCGTAGAGACAGTTTCCATAATAGCTTTTATCAAGTGAAAAAATAAAACAGAAGCACGGCACGCTGTTTTACCAGAACATAAAATTTTTAAGAATAGTAAAATTAAAAGATAAAATGTAAAGTTTTCTTTAAAGTATAGATATCCCAAGGTACAGGGTAGTGCGCTGAATGGCTGTACATGATACTTCCTAGACGGAAAACAAGATAGATATTTATTTATTTCCAGAAAACAGAGTAATAAATTAAAAAATACACTTTAATTTTATGGTAAAAGAATAAGTTAACAGCATTTTGTGTTTAAAATGTTCATAAAATGGAACTAATTAATTTCTTAATGTGAACAATTGCACTTTCCATGCAATACTTACTGCTTCATTGTACTGGCGCTGTTGAATATATAGCCGGGCTTTGCGTAGCATGTCCTGCCCTTTGGAAAGGGAAAGAGGTCTAACAAAAGGAAAGAAATAGTCAAAACTGAATCCCCAAACAAGTGCAAATGTTCACTGACACAAATTGGCTATCAATTTATTCCAATTCCAATAACAAGGTGCAATCAGGGAGGCAAACAAGATTATTTATATATGTATAAAATGAGATTTTATTACATATTATTTCAGTAAAAGGGAAAGCTCATGTTTAACTAGCTGTAATTGAAACTCACAAGAGAAATACACAATATGATTTCCTTTATCAGGTTAACCAACTGAACCAAATCGATCAATGCCCCCAAACTGGACTGATAGATTTATACTGAGATTGCATACATTTAGTCTCACCAGCTGACTATTCCAAATCATTATATAGCAAAAATGGAGGTGGTTGCAATATTCTGAAGGCAGTGCAACTGTACAGCAATGCTGTCAATGTAAATGTTATGTGACATAATAAATAAGTTCTTTCTTGAGGACCTTTAAATGAGCTTCTGATATACCGATCAAAGAGTTTACCAAAAAGAAAAAAAGTGCTAAGTAAGAGCAAAAACATGATTATTCTCTAAGCTTTACGATGCATTTAGAAACCCGATGAAATTAGAAGACCTGCCTTCATCAACTGGAAACCCAAATGGAAGAGTATCACGTGATGTTGAGACAGATAGAGCAATGTAATGAGAGATGACTTCCCTTGAATCAGTGGCAGAACATTAATAAGTGAAAAGAACAAAAAAGAATCAGCAGCAGTGAACATAAACCTATGAAAATATACAGCAACCAGTGGTGAAGATAAAAAAAAACGACTCAGGACACACCTACCAACATGGCAAGCTAGCACAAATAGTAATTTGATGTTGATTGATAAATATTGACCATAACAACAGGATTAGTTACCCTCCTCTTTGAAATCATGCCACTAGATCTTTTACAGTCACCTGACAGAACAGATAAAGCTGTGGTTTATAGTCTCAGCTGAAAGAGGACAGATCCAACAGTGCAACACTCCCTTACGATTGCACTGGATATTTGAGCTCAAGATTCTGCAATGGGTTTGGAATGTATAGCCTTCTGATTCATAGCCAGCAGTGCCACCAACTGAGCCATGGATAACTCATTCAGAAAATGGGCAGTAGCATACAGTGAACCTACCTTGCTCCCCAGCCTACCCTGATAAAGTAATAAAAAAATTGAGAATAAAGGATTTAATCAACCAAATCTATTGATTCATTCTTTCACAGAATGTGGACACTGTTGGCATGACTGACACGCTTATTGTCTGCACCTAATTACAACTAAACCAATTGGTTTACTAGGCCAATTCAGAGGGCAGTTAAGAGTCCACCACACTGTTACATGGCTAGAGTCATAGGCCAAGCCAGGTCAGATGGTAGACTTCTTTAACTAAGGACATTAGTGAATGAGATGGGTTTTTATGGGAAATGCTGATAGTTTCAGTTTGTGATCACTGGGATGAGATTCAGCTCCAGATTCTTTTTTATTCATTCACAGGATGAGTGCATCACTGGCCAGGCAGCATTTATTGCCCAAGCCTAATTGCCCAGAGGGCAGTTAAGAGTCAACCACAATGCTGTGGGTCTGGAGTCACATGCAGGTCAGACCAGGTAAGGATGGCAGATTCCTTCCATAAAGGACATTAGTGAACCAGATGGGTTTTTCCTGACAATTAGCAATGGATTTCTGGTCATCATTAGATTCTTAATTCCAGATATTTATTGAATTCAAATTCCACCACCTACCGTTGTGGGATTCGAACACAGGTCCCCAAAATGTTATCTGGTTCTCCAGATTAATAGTCCAGTGATAATACCACTAGGAAAGGATTTGAACCAATGTCCTGGAACATTCTGAATTACTGGTCCACGTGTCAAAGCCACTACATCAACACATCCACCTAAATTATGGTCAACAAATCAGTTCTGGTGAAAGGTCACTGGACTCAAAACGTTAACTGTTTTTCTCTCTACAGATGCTGCCACACATGCTGAGTTTCTCCAGCAATTTCTGTTTTTGTTTCAGAATTCTAGCATCTGTAGTTCTTTGTTTTTACGTTGGGAAAATTGGGAATTGATTAGTTACAAACTTCCAATACTCTAAATTATTAATGTAAAACCCAGAGCCATAGTCTTAAATTGAGGGGTTGATCATGAAGGGCTGCAATGTACAGAAATCACTTCATTGAAATGAGTGAGAACCTTTAGGTTTCTCTACCTCAGAGGACTGCATCATCTCGATCAGTGAATAAATTCAAAGCCAAGATTGACAGACCTTCGATCTCTCAGGGGGCTGAGGAACATGGGAAGTACCGAGAAAGTCAGTTAAAGCCCAAGATCAGCCTGGATCACATTAAATGATGAGCAGTCTTGACAAGCAAAGTGGCTGACTCCTGCTCCTTGTGTGCTTGACTTGCTCGACTCACTGCAGATTGCAAAATAGCAAAATAGCAAAAACTATACCCCATTCAAAAATATGTAAAATACCAGTAGTTAAAAAAAACTGTAAAAGTCCGTCACCAAATTTGGAAAATATAAACTGATTCAAAAGAATCAGCAAGACAAGAAAAGTAGGTTATGTCTTTGACGTGTGCAAGAGAAAGATCAATGTCATTTACATAGATTTTCAGGTGACATTTGATACACATGGCCACATGGTGGCTCAGCGGGACAGAGGGCAGGGGGCTGGATGGTGGCACAATGGCTCAGTGGTTAGCACTGCTGCCTCACAGCCCCAGGGACCCAGGTTCAATTCCATCCTTGGGTAACTGTGTGGAATTGGCACATTCTCCCAGTGTCTGCGTGGGTTTCCTCCCGGTATTCCGGTTTTCTCCCAGCCAGGTGGATTGGCCATGCTAAATTGTCCATAGTGTCCAGGGATGTGCAAGTTACGTAGGTTAGCCATGGGAAATGCAGGGTTACAGGGATCGGGTAGAGTGAGGGTGGGATGCTCTTCAGAGGGTCAGTGTGAACTTGATAGGCTGAATGGCCACACTGTTGGGATTCTATAATTCTATTAAAGGAGGCATTACTAGGTAAAAATTGAGACACATGAAACTGGAGACAGGACAGGAAATTGGGCAGAAGGTAGGAAACACAGAGCTGAAATAAAAGAAGTCTTTATTTAAAAGGTCATTCCTGGAATGTAGGCACCACTGGCGAGGTCATTGTTTAACGCCTATCCCCAATTGTCCTGAATTGAACAATTTACTAGGTCAATTGTTAAGGGCAGTTAAGACTCAGCCATATTGCTTCGGATCTGGAGTCACATATAGGGCAGAACAAGTAAGCTGAGCCTTCTTTCCCAGAAGGATTTTAGTCAATCAGGTGGGTTTTCACGACAATTCAGGGGTCACATGGTCACAATTATTGGTACTAGCTTTTCACAGATTGAATACGTTAATTTAACATACATTTATTAATTCCTACTGCGGGATTTGAGCTGGTATTTTCAGATCATTAATCTAATATCTGGATTACTGGACTAGTATGCTTTCATTTGCTCAAATTAGACACAAATTGTTTTCCAATTTAAGTGTATTTACGATTGGCGTGGCTTAGGAATAGAGAAAAGCATGTTTATGTTTGTGTGTGATATCAAGCTAGATGACATAATGAGCCATGTACAATAGAACAGAAAATTACAAAAAGATATGGACAGACAAAATGAGTGGGTGGAATGATTAGATGGTAGTGCTCAACGTACCAAATCTGCAGGAGCACATCGCCAATTTACATGAAAATACAAGTTGATCCAGAAAGCTAGAGTAGGGTGTGAATGAACGAAAGAGTCTACTTTGTTTAGGCACAGATTATCTTGAAAACTAGCTCACTAGTCTAAAAAATGATCACAAAAGGCTTGGATAAGTAAGGAAGGTAGAATCTCTACAGTTACACACAACCTTGGTCAGACCTCATTTGAATAAATGTGTTCAGTTTTTTGCATCCCAAACTAGGAACGATATATGGGCCTTGGACAAAGTCCAAAGAGATTCGTTAGTATGACTCCAAGTATAAAGTGATTGAGCAATAATGAGACTGGATCAACATCCCTGAAGGTGAAAAAGAAAAAGTGTGATTTGACTACAAATTAGGCATATTGAGAGAAGAAGACACAGAGTAGGGACTTCCCACTCTGTCCATTAAGAGGCCAGGGAAGGGTGCACACTGAGGGGAACACTGGCTGTCCACAGCCATTTGAGGGCCAGTAAAGATTGAAGGTGAAATTTCTGCCCCTCAGTGACAGGAACTCCCACCTCAGAGTTGTTGACCAATCAGAAGCTGGCAGCTCTCAAGCACTTGCAGACAGAGTACTGGATTGGGATCTGAATCAGCACTTGGGGTCTTTGCAGAGTGCCAAGCTGGCAGGCTTGAGTGAGGGGTTTGGTGAAGAGGGGATAAAACTTTGGTGTTTCCCCATCCAACCATTCAACCAGCCTAACATGAATCATGTAGATCTCACTCCTGCCCACCACCAGATCACACAGGGAAATCTGCTTGGCTGGTTGCTGGAATGGATCTTTTTTGTTTCCCGTTAAAGTCCAGATGCAGTGGACGAGGCCCTCAAGTATGAACTAACTGCCCACTCAAGGGCCTCGACTGCCCCATTGGCAGCTGATCCACCTAATGCCAGTCCCCGCATTCAATCCCACCACAAAGGAGCTTAAAACCCAGCACCATGCGAGTCACATGGCACAGTTGAGTATTTTTGTTCTTATGCTTCCTAGTGCTTTCTTTGAGATACCCTGGCTTTGTATAAATATAACCTAGTGTAATCTCAAATGGCTGGAATTTGTTTTCTTTTTACAGATGAATGGTTTGTAGATATGTACTAAGGTCAGAAATAATAAAATGATTATATTTGTCCTATCCCAGGATGCATTAATTTTCAATATTGTTTAGCTTCTGGTGAAAGACATGCGAGATTCATGCCTGTGGACTTTCTTGGTCACCACTTTATGGAACAAGCTAATGCACACAGTCTTGAGATAAGGAAACAAGACAA